AATCGTTGTGGAAAAATTATTTTCGGTTGTAGGGTTCAATTACAGTCATTTTTGGTGAATAGACATACCCCCGAAATCTTGCGCATTTTCGAGAAAAAAATTCAGTAAGAGCGGCACTTTAAACGTTAATAACTTTTTAACGAAGCTTCCACCAACAAATTAGTATTCTTGATTTTTGTCTTATTTTGGCCTCTACTATCGCTCATTAAAATTTTTGCTAGAGGTGGCCGAACACCCTGTATAATGTGCCGCAGCAAATAAAAATCCCTCCAGTCTCCAGACGTAAATGTGATAGAGCACTTATGGAGTCATCTTGAAGAAAAAATTCGAGACCATCACATTTCTTCGGAACAAGATTTAAAAAATGCACTTTTAGAGGAATGGAACAAAATTTCTAGTACTATAACCAAAAATTTAGTAAACTCAATGCCGCAAAGGCTTAAAGCGATTATACAATCTAAAGGAAATCCCACTAGATACTAAAATAGCAAATAGACTGATTTTTGTTACGTTTATGTACTAAAATTTATAGTTTTTGTTGTAAAATTAGAAGCGTACGAATACTTATTACACATATATTTCACGCCAATTTCTGGAAATTTGTTAATATTTTCATAATAAATATAAATAAATAATTTGTTGTTAATGACATTTGTTCCAGAGATTTCTAAGAATATGTATGTATGTTTTTGTTAACATACTTTTGTAATAAACAAAGTTCTGCAAAGTTTTTGTTCAAATTGACTAGTGTACGAATACTTTTTACACTCACTGTATATCGTGTACTGTGGCATCGTTGCACGATCGAAAGACAAAGTTCCGTTCGTGACATAGACTCGTGGGTTTATGACGTGACATATGACGCCAGGAGAATACCACAGGAAGAAATTGGCACGCGTTTGACGTCCGAGCGATCGCGTGACGTTATGGGCGATGGTTTGCACTGAGTCTACACAATGGAACGCGCCCATCCCTATATTGCACCAGCAGCACGTGGTCACGGCATCTGGCTGAAAATCGCACATAATTAACCGATTCGTTCGTACCGGAAGTCCATCTGTTTCTAGATTGTTCCGTTCGAACACGATACGAAGAATGCTCGAACCACCGTTAACAACGACTATAAGGCTGATCTTTTGGTAGCATGTCTAGAAACATTTGCTCTAAATAAACCCTAAAGTACACTAATTAAGTATATCTCTTATACAGAATCGTTCATGATTTTTGAAGAGAAAACAGAATTCAATAATTTTTGCTTACTAAATGGATTGTTCGTACAGCAATATGTTCTCTGAGTAGAAGTGTCCGAGTACTTACAAACCGAGTCAAACCAATCTTGATTATTCAAACAAACTTGATCATCCAAGCAAATTGTTTATTCAAACTAACAACAACAAATTATTATATTTGAATAGTACAGTTCACTTGGGTAAGGGATTTGGATAAGCAAGAATAATTCTATAATTCTAAATATTAAAAAAAAATACCTATTCATTTGAATAACTTGAGGTGGTTTGATATTTGAATAGTTTTCTATAGTTTGCATATAGGACAGAAAGGGTGAAAACTTTAATAAGTAATGTAAGTATAACTCTTGTAATTAACATATAAGTTTCTAACTTATTACATTATAGTAATTCTCACATTTTGTATAAACAATCGAGTTGTTCAAATAATTGGATAGATTGACTTTTCTCAAGTTTCACAAATGTTTGACTTGATTTGAATATCAAATACTTGAATATTACAAGTGCTTGAACAGCTCTATTTCTGAGATACAAAACCGAGCATAAGAATTTTTAATTGCACGTATGTAATATAAGTAGAAACATTTTATTAAGAATTTTATTTCTTCGTTAATCAATTACTGAGAATACGTTTTCAACATTACGTACTGCTTGATCAGTCTATTTTTACTTGAATCATATGTTGCATAGATATACGTTATAAAATTAAACAAACGAATCAAAAATATAAATATTATTAGAATGTTTTTAAAATATTTTCAATGCAATATTGCAAATGAAATTACAACATTGCGGCTGTATAACTATTATATTCCATGCTATATTGTATGTTTTCAAACACCAAAGAAATGCAACAACCTATAACACATACATACTTTAGTATTAACTCAGTTGATTATAGTCGCATAATAATGTATAAGAATAAAACATGAATATGGTCCTTAATTGAAGATTAATTATTTGACATAACTAATTTTCTAGCATTAAAATTTTCTTATTCAAAAATCAGGTTTACAATTTATTATTCAATATCAATTTTGTTTAGTTATTTGATGCAAAAATATCATTATATGTTCTCTTGCACAGTAATGGGTTTTTATGATTATAAATAATAGAAAAAAACCTGTACGTATAGACCATAAATTATAATCATGCCGAGTCCAATTACTGTAAACAAAAGTAACTTCATTGATCCAATAAATACTTTCATAATAATAATGTACCTTTAAATTATATAATCAGAAATTGAAACTAACTCAACTTCTAGAGCACACAGTCATAGATCGTACCACTACGCCATTGCTAATGCAATCATCCGATATCAAGCTGTTCTAACAATCCAAAAATCCATGTAAATCATAATACAAGCTTCAGGATAAAGCATCATCATCACTCGAACAACGCGCAAACACCTGTTTTTGCGTGTGCTCCAAACTCTCTCGCGAGCTTCGTTGCCAGTGCCGTGATCCACAAGAACCTCAATTAAACAACTTCACGAAACCGATTAATGCCGTAGTAGTTCACGTAGTCCGTTATGGCATCAAACCACCCCCGCGGTGTAACGAAACATCGTCCCGCGCGTATACTGGGAAATAGAAATCATTACCCTCGAAGATAATTCAGAATCACCGACTAGGATTCTTTTTAGAAAGGCTGTTTCACTGTTCCATCTGATTTCTTATCGCTCAAACTAATAATTATTAGCATTACTATCGACTCGACAGGTAAACAGAGAACAAAAAATATTTGTAATAGTAGACTCAATAGTAGACGAGACACTAAAGACTATAATTTATTGGTTCGTCAAATATTTATATTGCTCTATTATAGTGAAATTGAATTTCTTGTATTGAATTCTGTAAATGTAAAAATTTCTAGATTGATCAAACTAGAACAAATGATATTGTAGTGCAGTCTAGTTTAGTATTAGTTTATATACACTCAATCTAGAAATTTTTACATTTACAGGAGTGTATATAAACTAATACTAAACTAGACTGCACTACAATATCATTTGTTCTAGTTTGATCAATTGACCTGATTTGATGTAATCACCTTATTTGATCTATTTTTACTATAATTTTCATTCTTACACGTTTCTATTTACATCAATAATAAATGAAGTAGACAACAAGCTTGGTCACGTTATTTAGTTTCTTTCATTACAAAACCAATTTTATTTTTCTGAAAATATGTTCTCGCTCGTGAAAAATGTTAGATCTTGGTTAATGTTTCTAATTTCACATTTAGTTTCTAGTCTTAGTTTCTAGTTTCAAATGTCGATTTTTTAAATCCTAAAAGATACCGTTCTCCATTGAGGTCTGTAAACTATTGAATAGGGGGTGAAATATAATTGTCTGTTCTCTATTTACCTAAGAAGTCTTAGTAAAATCAATATCTAACACTGCAGAGACTGGCAAAATTTTATTCGAGTAATAAATAACTAACATAAACTCACCGTATAACAATTTATTACAAGCCTTTATACGTTAAACGTGAAATGTAATTTAATATTATTATTAAAGTTGCAACATTTAGGGACAAACATTGTTCGTCTTTAATCGTAAATCTAAATGTTCATCCAGATAAGAATTTTGCATATCTCTGAAATCATGCTTCCATCTAACAATTAGCTAGCTGAGCCTTCATTGTGAAATATAATTTCATATAATTTAAGTGGTAAAATTCGACAAAGATCGTTCGTCTTTTAAATTATCATCGAATCAAGAATTTTGCACGTCTCTGAAGCCATGCTTCGGGCGCGTAGGCATCGACACTCGAGTGATCGATTCGCCGAGCGATCGGTTTGAAGTTACTTTTCCCTGAACTCGACGATAAACGAGAACTCGCGACAGATTCACACGCTGCGTTCCTCCATATTTCCTCCTCTCTCATTTAACCCCTTAAAACGAACACTTGTGCTCACCACCTGACGTGTATGCGTGTCCATCTGTCGTATCGCGTGCAGCGATAGGCGGTTCAATTCACCGATCAAATGATCGTCGAAACTTGTAAATCTTGATAGAAAAGAGGACGAGACAGTCTTGATAAACTTGAAGGACTCGAAACCGGTGTTGGTATTTCTCGAGGGGCACGAGTATAACAGAGGCATGCAACAGCATCGAAATACCAGAGAACGCCGTTGTAACTATACGTAAAATATTCTAGATTGTAATATGTTCGCCTGCGCGAACAGGAGATTACGTTAACATTGCTTTACTCGTTCAAGCGTTGGTACAGCTTCTACGACTATACTGGAGAGCCGGATAGAATGTCCCCGGATGAAGGTATCGAAACTTTGTGTCGAGTAAGCTGAAGACCAACAAAAGAACGTCACTCGGGGACATTCTTTACGGCTGCCTGCAGTAGACGAGAGACTTCGAGTGTTTCGAGACGTTCAAGAATTCTGAAAACGATCTGGTCGGTCCGCTGACACGTTCGCTGCCGCGTCATGGTTTCACTAACGAGCTAAAAAGTTAAATCTAGATTAAGTTTCATTTTCGTGGACAACTCGAGGGATTTGGCAGCGAACGTGTCAAAGCGATTCTTTCTGATAAAAGTTTCGCGTCAAAAGTCGTTCATCCGCATAATCACTGTACGCGTGTCTGTGTTTGTGTGTATATATGTGTGTAGATGCGTGTATATGGAATCGTACACAATATCAATTAACGTGCACAAGAACAATACTGCCACGAGATTGCGTGCAGGGCGGGTTCGTGCAGAGCCGCACGGAGCATTAACAGTGTGACAGACCTGGCTTTAACAGACACAACTTTAGTCCCAACGGCCATGTTCTCTTTACAGTAGATCGGGCCATACACTATGTGGTCCCATACGGGCGGATTATTCGCACGGTCCACAACGTCAATCTGAACCTCCACCACTCGCGACGAGACCGGGTAGCCCTTGTCTTGGGCCATCGCCTGCAGCTTGTACATCTCACGCTACACCAGACCGCGTGTATAACAAACGGGAACAAAACACAATGGCGTTAGTGTCAGGCGTAATGACTCGTGGCAGTAAGTATTTTTTATCTCCGGACGAGCGCCAAGCTCTCGACAAACGTTTCAACGTTCTTTCTCTGGCGCGGGGTGTCAATCTTGTGTTCTCGTTTCGTAACGTCTGCCATTGCTTTGCACCCTGGTGTAGCCAATTAAATCATCACGTGTCACACGATAGCTCGTTATACATATGTACCCGTCCGGCTGGACAATTCTCCGGACCCTCTGGTTTAGCCGCTGCCCTCGATTTAGCCCTCTACTAGCGCGATTACGCTCTAAGCAAAAGCTGAATACTAGCGCCAGCTGAAAGCTGAGCGTGCTGAATACGGGGGACGGGCAAAAAAGTCCCTGAGACAAGGAACCGGCGATCGGTGATGCGCCCGCCTCCGTACCTGCGTGTGCTGCACGTGAAAGAAAAATAATAACCCTGGATCTCTCGCTATATCCTCGCCTACCCTATATATATATATATATGTATATATATATACGGATCATCGCGCTAAGGACAATCCGGCATCTGGTTTTCCGAACTCGTACACATCTAAGGATTTTCTTTCCGCTAAAGTCGTCGAAGCCGGTTCGCCCGGCACGTTCGAACCCTTCCGCACCGACGCACGATAACTCCCAAAGAGACAAACAGATTCGATTCATCGGTGCAGACTCCCAAACGTTCCGTAGAGAATCGACTCCCTCGAATTGGTAACAATTAACATAAGTAAGGGATAGACAGTAGTGGTAATAGTAATGGTAGTAAGTAGTTGTAGTAACAGTAGTAGTAAGTAGGTAGTAAGTAGGTAGGAGTGTCCGACCAATCAGCGATCTACCGCGCCGCGCTTGACCATGCATGCTTCAGCTCCCGTAATGCATCATGTACGAAATAAACAGGAAAACGCTATAACGTAACCAAAGGTCGAAAACTTACGAAACGGCCCGGACGGGGGTAAATGAAGAACTGTGACGGCACTTAACCGATAGAATAGATGGATCGAACGGTAGCTGATAGAGATCGAAAGGAGGGTGTGTAAAGAACGAGGGGATCGAGGCCAGAAAAAAGACGTGTATCTAGAGAGACAGAGAACAGGGAGTAAGCATTGCATGGCACGGCACGGCATGTCACGTGTCTTGTCTCGGTCATGTCGTGGCATACAAACCTGGCTTTCACCGACGTCACTACAGTACCCACTGTGACATTTTCTTTGATGTGAATGGGGCCGTATACATTCGCATCCCACACAGGTGGTTTATTGTTTCTGTCTACGACGTCTAACTCAACGTCCACGTCTGCGTGCCAGACTGGCATCCCTCTGTCGGAGGCCCGTACTCGCAGGCGATAGCTGTCACGCTAGTGGCAAAACATTGGACCGTCAACTCACAGGACACTTTTTCAGGACTGTTGTTGGCGGATGTTTTTTTTTTTTTTTTTGCTTTTTTCGCTCTTTTTTGTTTTTACTTTTTTTTTGCTTTTTTCCGGTTGACGTTTTCACGAAGCGATAAGTCACTCAGCGACGAGCGCGGTCACGGCTGTCGTGGACGACCCGGAGGGTATTTTTTTAATACGCGAGAACGTAAACGAAAGAGATAGAAGAGAGTGAAGGACCATGCAGTCTCGTGTGTATCCGCTTTATCCAGACCTCTTTGAGACATAATCTCTTCGACGCGTCTGCCAAATCGACCTGAAAATTTCTGCCATTATCGAGTCGGTTTTTTTCTTTTACGTGAACATTATTTCCTGTAAGGGATACTTACCCCAGTCTTTAAAATGAAACAGTCGTGAAACGATATCGTTGTTACGATCATAATTAAAACGGTGGTAGACGATCCCCTGTGCCGATAACGGTTCATTTTTATGACGGATGATGAGTATGAAATATGAATTCGTTCGATGATAAATATGCAATTTCGTGTAGCTCTTAACTTAAACGAAAGCTCAGAAATTTGAACGTAACGCATAACGTTTGTTGGTCGAGATGATGGCACGCTAACTACAAATTAAACGACGCAACTCCGTTTCTTAGGTTTTTGGTTGTTATTAAGTGAGTCGATCACCAACCAGGAACCAAGAGTCTGAACAGTAGAGTTAGCCTGTGTGTAGCGTGTCAACATCTCGTCTTGAAATAGTACATCGCTCGTCGATTACGATCAGCACCAATTAATCGACGAATCGATTCTCCTAAACTGTTGTCTTTTGACTTTCGATTTATCGAAACAGAAAAACAGTAATAATAATAAATAAATCTCCAAAGGGTGTTGAGTTTTAAAAGGTGTTGCAGGAGTCTGCGAAATCGTTATCGGCAAAACATTCGAAGAGGTCCTTCACCTGCGGATACGCTCGAGACCAGGACGAGAGAAGAAACAAAATGCGCGATGACACGAGTGAACGAGTTATATCAAAGAAAGATAGAAACTATAAACAAAACAACCCGCGCGCATTTGGTAATCAAAATTACTGACAAAAGTAAAAATGAAAAAGAAACTTGACCAAAGACGGAGTATAGTGAAGAGACAGAGAGATAGAAAGAGAGACAGAAAGTGATAGCGATACAAAAAGAAAAAACAGAGTGACGTCTCCGAGTGACAATAATCATAGAACAACAACAGAGGCGAAAAAAATTAATCGAAACGATAAGTTTTACACAGTCAATAATCGAACGGAAAGGCGCTCTAGTATACTGCAACGAATATCATACTCTTTTTTTTTTTTTTCTTGCGCTGGTATAACAATGCGTTATACTGTGTTCTCGATGCAAAGTGTGAAAACACAAGAATGTAGTTCCTACTTACTGGAAAACAGCCCTTTTTTTTGTCATCATCAAATCCGAAGAAAGTAAATGGTGCAATGAACACAAACATAAACAATAAGAAATTCAAATTAGTTCCTTTACGAAATCAACCAATGCAGGCATTTACATGCAAGCAAGAATGCGTTTAAAGAGGCATCGGGAGGAACAAGGGTGACGTGAAATTAAGAGAGAGATAGAAAGACAGAAACAGACAGAGAGAAAAATAGAGAGCTCGGTGAGGGGAAGAGGGTGGATCAAGGATGTGGTCGGAGTTACAGAGAGAAGGAAAAAAAATTATGACGACCCCTCGTCTGATTCTTTCGTTTATAACGACACTCAAAAACCGATGGACGTTTTTACCGTGGATTAGTTATTACGTTGGCTCGTCGTGTGTATATTATAGATCCGCATATTTTAGTTTCTGTTTCGTTACGACAATGGTATGCCGCCCCAATCACAGAAGAAAAAATGTCACACCACGGACAGACTTCTTACGGTTTATTGTTATTGCGCTCTCGGCAAAAAATGTCTCTCGTTTCTCTTTTTTGTTATTTATATTTAGTTATTTATTTAGTTTTTTTTTTGGCTCATTGTCAGTCACGTCGTGGTTTGCGGGAAAATGATGGACGAAAGTCGGGAAACGTCAGATCGAAAAGTAAAGGGGTACGAGAACAAAAAAAGATCGGAGATATACAAAATGCAAAGTAAACGAGAAAATTGTAGTTCGTCGAAAGAGGACGAAAATTAGAAAAAAAAAAGTCGAACGTATCTCTCGATATTCGTGTTTAACAAAATGCAAACCGTTAAAAAAATTCTGTCGAACATTTGCAAAAAGCAAAAAGGAAAAGGTCAGAAAAACCCGCGAGAGTCGTGAATTTTAGAAGTTTAGAAACGAATGGAACAGAAGAAAACGAAATTGTAATGAAAATTATACGAGAGACAGAGTATGTGGAAGGTGGTGGGGGAAAAGATAGATAGAGAGAGCAGAGAGCAGAGAGGAAGGATGTAGGAGCGAGAGCGAGATCCGTTCCTGTAAAGGAATCAAAAACACATTCATATAAAATATGCAAGCATTTTCAAAAATTGTTTATGTCTGATGCACCACAAAATGCGTAGAGGTTGAAGTACACCGTACGTGGGGCTCAAAAAATGTCGTTCCCACCTGCTCCTGGAAGTTCAAAAAACATCACTTCCCTTTTGAAAAACATTCACATTAGTATTTAGTTTAAGGAGAATAATTAAAGGTAATTAGTTGGGTATCGATCGTTTCCCTTCCTTTTGCTCTGTTATTCGTTCGTTCCTTCCCGTTGTTTCTCCGCGGCTCTGTGACGCGTGTACAAAAACAGAAACAGGGGAACAAAAATTCGACGCAGACATCTTTCTTCTTGGCTAAGGTATGGAAAGTGAGAAAAAAGTGCACACGCTCGTTTCGCCAACGGTCGACTTTTGCCTGGCGCGCGACAAACGTTCACCGGTTCGAAAAAAATTGCGAAAAATCAACGTGGAAAGAAAATAAACGACAGATTCACCCGAGTACGCAAAATCATAATTCGGCCAATCGGGAACACAGATCACGCGAACTGAAGTTTTGAAGGAACAACAGAAAGAAAGAAAATGATCGAACGGAAGCTAGACGAAAAAATAAAATAAAAAAAGAGTATTTATATATAATATATATATACATACATATGTATATAAAAGAAGAAATGGAGAACGAAAAATAGTAGAAGACGTTCGCCGGCGACCGACCACGGCGATAAAAACAAAACTGGACAAGAGGTGTTCGAAAGTTCGATTTGGAATAATGATTATTAATTTTTTGTTTTTCATTTCAATAGGTACTCGCGCCGCGAGCATGTTCTCGATAGAAAGAATGAGAGAGACAGAAAGAGAGTGTTCTGTTGCAAAAATAGCCCGAACGGTCGATCGATTCAGGTACATGAAGCGTTTGAGGAAATCAGGCATAGCTAAGTATTTACCATAGTGAACACATTGTGCATATCAATGGGAATTAAAAAGTTCTATACATGTGCCGTAAAAAGGAAACTCATTTCGTTGCATATTAGTGATAATTAGAGAAATAATTGCCGACCAAACGCATATTTGTATACAAGTTATCCGATCAACAACAAAACGGATTCGTGTTAAAGAACGTAAGTCAACGTAAACGTACAATATATCGGCAGAAGGTGTACACTCAAGTTTGTATTCATATAGTATAAGTACAGTTATAAATATATTATTCTATCATATTATGTGTATACACACTCACATATAGGGACAGCCTAAGGTACGTATATGTGTGTGAGTACAAGGGCACAAATGTTGGAGAACGCGCGGTGCATTCTCGGCTACCAATCGGTTCTTCGTAACAAATTAGCTTTCCCCCCCAACACGTTTAATTACGCTTTGTTCCCAATTAAATACACGTTTCTTGTTTTATCGAACCAAAGTATAATGCCTTACGCTGTACGATACGTTCGTGATGCGATAAATGGTGATCGAAGATCGAAGAACCAGATGTCCCTTGCTCGAGAACACACTGCACTCCTCCAGAGAACGATTTTTCTTGTTACTGTTAAAGAGAGACGCATACGTGGATTATCACCAATAGGAATACTCACGTCTAGGGGCTTCTTTAAGACGATCCAACCAGACTCTGGTTGAATCTCAAAATACTCCAAGCCCTGGTCATTGTTAGGCGAGCTCAGCGAATAGGTTATGGCACCGTTATTGTCGGCATCTTCGTCCGATGCCGACACTCTTAAAATGTTTGTTCCGATACTCGCGTCTTGTTTCACATTTTCTACGTATCTCTGTAAACAGACGAGAATTTAGTTGTAGACGCGTCGAAGAACAGACACTTCACAACACTCATTATAATGTACTTAATTTTCACGTATACCCATTCCTACCATGACCGGCCAAATGACTTTCTTTTTCTCTTTTACAAGGCAACGTACTCCTAATGCTTGCATTATACATATAGGATCCTAGTTCGTTTCAGAGAAAACCATTTTCTGCGTAAAAATGATAGCTAATAATTATGCAAATATCCTGTATATAAATTTAAATTCATTTTCAGTTAAATAAACAATTTATAATCCAGTTTTTGCAAAAATTGCTGCAACTTCTTTGATTCCATAGAATCGAAGCACTAATCATAGAAGACAGCGTAAATGATAATAGTTGATATATCCATTGGATAGAGGATGAAAAGCCCTTTAAAATGAGTGTTCATTTAAGTCGATAGCGTAATAAGTTCCGGAAATATAACGATTTTTGTTTCAAGTTAATCGCATGGTTAGTTCCGGAGATACAAGGGTTCAAAGCGTTTCTTTACTTTTCATTGTTTACGTCGCGAGCTCATTTACCTACTTAGAAATATTACGTCACTCGATTACATTTGCCACGTGATTGGAGTAGGTCAGCACGATGCGCGTGTGACAAAAAGGTTCGACGCATAACAGATAATCGAATTAAAAAAATTACCCCTGTACATAAATTGCGATATCTCAAAAACGGAAAGTCGGATCGACATAACTTCAAAACCATTTTAAAGGGGAGGCCTTACCGCTTCTAACGTTGGATCAATTATAGAGAAAACAGTAGTAGCTTCGAAATTCCACGCGTCTAAAGTTTTATTATTTTTAATACGCCTTAATACTAAACCTACCGCGACCGGTCAAATGATCATTTTTAAAATTTCGTTTAGAATTTCTAACACGCAATATTATTTTAACACCATTTAACTTCACGACTTTTTTATAGTATACGTACAATGAATTTTACAATATTCGCTTCTATCCTTATTGTTTGTTTTCTGAGAAAAATATATAGTGTCTTGCCTACCACGATCAGTCATCTGACCGATTGAATGATTTATATTTAAACTGGACAAAATTTGGTACCAAATTCTGGTTAACTTCCGATGTAAATAGGAAATATGAGCCGCTTATTTTGAAAGTGGCCTAACTCCATTTTTCAATTTTTTCCGGTTACCATGGTTACATGTACAACTTCATGATATTTATCAGTAAAGAATTTTAGGTTGCTTATATTCCGAGCAAATACGATAATTCTTGACACATAAGTTTTCAGAGTTACTTCAGTAATTGAACCGTGTAGTTTGAAAGTGGCCTAACTCCATTTATACTTAAATCAAGATATTTAATGTTTACATGTACGTTTGGGATGAAACTATTGCATCCAGAGGTGCGCAAGAAATTGTTTCATGCATCCTAAAACATGTTAAAAATTTAAGAAGTGAAAGACACTTTATAGCTTACAGTGACATGTGCGCCGGGCAAATTAAAGACATTAAAGTAGCTTTAATGTGGTTAAAAATTGTCCAAACATTGGAAAATAATGTGGAAATCATAGATCACAAATTTTTAATATCAGGACATTCGTTTTTACCAAATGATAGAGATTTTGGCGTGGTAGAAATGTCATTAAAAAAAAATAATTTACTGTTCGTTCCCCGAGATTATTACAAGATTATTAAAAAGTGTCGGAAAGGTAATAATTTTATTGTAAATGAAACGAGACAAGAAGATTATGTATCAACAAAATTATTCGAAGACGCAATTTTTAAAGGGGTAAAGAATTCTGATGGAGAATCAATAAACTGGTTAAAAATATGTTGGATGCGTTTTGTCAGAAATGAACCGTATAAAATTTTCTATAAGACATCAATGAATGAGAATGAAAATTTTAAAGTCCTGAATGTATTACCACGTCGGGGTAGACCAAGAAAGTTCGAAAATATTGTATTGACACCACTGTATAAAAATATCAAACAAATTACAACAGCAAAATTCAAGGACATAACTGACCTATTACGATATACATATACCACCGGAACATCATGATTTCTTCAAATCCCTTTCACACGCACAAAATGTAGACGAGTAGTAAATTGTTTTGTAATAAATTTATGTTTGTAATTTTGTACGTTATGTAGTTAAAAAATGTTTTGAATGGCATAAATTATGTTTCCAAAGTGTTTTAAAGATATGTAAAATAAATTCAGTATTGTTTTTTTCAATTTGAAGCATCTTAAATTATGTTGAATGGACTTGGGCACCTTCAAATTTTATAATGAATCTGGTTGTTAATTTTGAAAGTGGCCTAACTCCATTCTTAATAAGAAAACGCATATTATTCACTTAATAATTGCCACTATTTTAATAGGAACTATAAATTTAACACCCTTAGATACACTTAAGCAGTATGATTCATTAGTATCCTATACGTATATTTTTAAATTCATTGAAACGCAAACCCTTAAATATCTCGATTTGAAGATAAATGGACTTAGGCCACTTTCAAAATAAACGGCTCATATATGTATAGCAAAGACGAAAGGAGAGAATCTTCAGTTTCCACTGTTTTAGAACAGTCTAACGGATATCGTAATTTATGTAAAAGGTAATTTTTTTAATTCGACTATCATTGTCTTCGTCTAGCGGAGTCGGACCTCCTTGTCGCACGTGCGTGGTGCTGACCTACCCCGCGTACGTGACTGTCGTGACCCAGTTCCGGCGTAGTATTTCCAAGAATTTACTACGCACTGTCTACTATCTAAGCGCGCGAGATCAATGAACTCGCGCGGACGCAGCAACGAAACGTAAACAAACCCTATCTCCGAAACTAGCCACCGCATCGACGCGAAACTAAAATCTTTATATTTCCGGAACTAATGAAGCTATCGACTCGTACAAACGCTCATTTTAAAGGGCATTTCATCCCCTATCCGATACCCATATCAACTATTATTATTTATGCTGTCTTTTATGTTTATTTTAATATTTACTTTGACTCTACACACCGAAAGAAGTTTCAGTAAGTCCTACTGATCGTACGACTAGTGTATGATAAAATTAGACCATAAATCATTTATTTAATTCAAAATGAATTTAAATACAGGATGTTTGCGTAATTACTAGCCAGCACTTTTTCTTAAATAATTGTTCTTTCTGGAACTAACTACGGTATCGACTTGGAACAAATTTCGTTTTCAAGGACGTTTTATCTTCTATCCGATGAAAATTAAATAATTTTTTAACATAAAAGAGAAGAATATTTTACGAATAAACATCAAAACACAACTTTTTATACGTATAATGCAAAAATTAAAAGTACATTACCTCGTAATAGAGAAAAAGAAAGTCATTTGACCGATCATGTTCGGAATGGGTATACATGAAATGCCGGTAGGTTTAATATTAACACGCATTTTCTAAGACAGAGTGTGAACTTTTAAAAATTACTTTTAGTCCCTTGTTTCTCGTAGTTATCCAACAATTGCTATATTTTAAATATCTAATAAGTTAAACACATTGAAGTTAAATAATAGTTTTTATTTGGTTCCACTCGGACAATATTTTAGTTGCTACGAGTAACAATTATTGCTGGTTTAAGCTTTAAAAATACAAACAGTTTGAAACATTTATATTGTTAATCAATGCTCATGAATCCACGTGCGTTGTTTGTGCTATATGAAATACCACATAACAATTACACAAATAAATAATATGGAAACTACTGGATAGACTCTTTCATTAATGCAAAAGTTCGTTAATTTATTCTCGTGCAATTGTACCACGCACTAAGTGCGGAAAACCACGATCGCCTATAATTTGCGTTTCTTTCAAATGAGTCTGTTTGAATTCCCTGATAGTTGCTACTCGAGATCATAAACGCATCAACTGACGCTTCGTTGAATTTCCCTGCGCCAGGAAATAATAGAAAATTGTACAAATGAAACTTGCGTTGAATGCAAATGAGACGAACGGACGAACCTACTATTGAATTACGTGCGCGAATGTTCTTCAAACTGGGTTAAACATGACTCTACACGACGCAACGTATTTATAAAGTAAAAATCCTGAACTTATTTTTGTATATCTATATCACTATCAACCCCATCTCTTCGCGATTGCAATTTTTACTGTGACTATAACACAATACTAATATCATTTTCCACGGAATATTCTTTTTCTACTTTTAATTTACTTTTTCTATTTTTAATTTTCAAACGGAGTTAGTTGTCTGATTTCGAATTACTGCTATGTTTAGTGTTTGGATCGAATGTATTAGTATACAATTTCTAAATAAGTTTTGTAGGGTTTGACTATGATTGCTTGTTTCTTAAGGTTTTGATAAGTCGACTCACCTGACGGTCGAATAGAGGTGGGTTATCATTGACATCAGTGATTTCAACATTGAAAGAACAAACTCCTTCCAAGGAAGGTTCACCTTGATCCGTTGCTTTGACAGTAACGGATACAAATTTTCCATCGTCTCCTTCGCGATCGAATACCTGAAAATATCAAAATATAATAATTTTATGTTTCTCTTTTATTTCAATTTGAAATAATACAATTATCGAAAGCACACCCACTCGATAGTATGTCAAGATGCTTCTTATATTGTAAAAACCTTTAATATTAAGTAGTTAAAGTAATATTTTGACTAGTAATTTGCAAACACTATACTGCAACCAATATGCAAAATTTGAATTATATAGCGAAGGGAAACTTTTCAAAGTAAATAATTTCCATTTTGACAATTTAATTTGTTGCAAAAGAAAACTTAAAATGACCTTCTTCGAGCTTTCTAAACCGAAGCCTCCCCTTAATATTTTAAAGTATTTACAACTTTTTCAGGTTTTCGTGGCCGTCATTTTTATTTGTCAGTTTTAATTAATTTTTACAAATTTGGTTCATACTTAAGATATTGTATTAAACGCCGCAAACGATTACGTGCGCTGTTTCTTATTAAAAATTTCATTTTAACATGTCAAAACGGTCACGACGTAAACGTAAATATTCATGTACCTACATTCTACAAAATAAATATAGTTTTTGCAACAAGTCGTTTCAGCATATTTTTTTCATGAAATACACCTCATGATCTTCTCACTTTTATAGTAAAACCCTTTTATCTCTCATCAATAGAAAAAAGTATGATTTTTTTAAGAAAATGAAATTTCTCCAAAAATGTTTCATTTTATCTTTCACTTTTTAATAAACATCTTTACTGTACAAACTCATCCGACAATTTAACAGTGTTATTATTAAATCTTTGACGTATCGATTAAAAAAAAAAAGACACTTGAATCTACCTAAGTATTTGAGCGTGTGTGCTTGAGGGTTACAATCCCGATTGATTAAATTTCTATTAAAGTTTCCTTGCGTACCCTATTCGTTAAAACTTGGCCTGTCTCCTCGTCCACGGTGAATTTCGTACCCTTCTGATTGGGTTGTTGTACGATCGAGTATTTCACTTGTCCATTGACACCTTTGTCCTTGTCGGTAGCCTGTACCTTGATAACGGTGCTACCGTTCGGCGCGCCTTCCTCGACTTGCGGATTGTATTTGTTGCAATCGTTGAACACTGGCTTGTTGTCGTTCACGTCCGTGATAAACACCACCACGACCGCCGTGCTGGCGTGCGTGGTAGTATCTCCATTGAGGCAGCAGGCACCGTCGTCGTACGCTGTCACATTCAGCTCGTATTTGTCGTTGTTCAACGCGATCGCTTTTCCGTGCAGTCGGATCACACCCGTGATCTCCTCGATCACGAACTGGCCCCAAGTGGTGTTTCCGTCGGCGAATTTAAACCGTACATTGTCACCGTCCTTATCCGACGCCACCACAGTTGTAACCAACGTGTTTGGCCCAGCGTTCTCGTCTACGTTCGGCGTGTACACTTGCTGAGAGAATTTTGGTTCCTCGTCGTTCTTGTTCTTCGTGTATATTCGTACCGTTGCCGTTCCAGTTTTGGGAGGCTCGCCTGAAACAATGGTTCAAAGTCAGTCGGAAAGATCTAAACAATTTTTTGACAATATTACTTGCCGGAAAAATACATTCGAAGAACGAAAAAAATAGTAGATAGAAAGTTATAAGTAGACTGGGGATCTTTATGCAAATTCATATTTTTATTAATGGAATTGATAAAATAGAAGCTTTGTAGAGGGTTGTGTCAACCCTTGAATTATATTTTTCCATATTAACTGCATTCTGTAGTTGTTTGAGAATTAAAATTTTTCATAAATGCATAAACAGTCTACTTATAACATAATATTAATATAGGCTTTAACGCTTGTATTATCAAACTAATGAAAATGGTGTAAAATTTAAAAGACTGGAATTATCAATTTTGTACGATGCAATATATTTAAAGAACTAGAATTATCAATTTGTATTCATCTTTTCAGTACCATTTTTAACCCTTACATTAATGATACTATGAGTGAATTTTCACCCACACATTAATTATAATATTATTGTTTAGATTGCAATACTCGAAATAGAATGAAACCTATTAGAACTCAAATTTGAATCTGTAGAAAAATTAAATACAGTAAAATTTAACTAATAAAACGATACGTTAGAAGAGTTGTTTATTTATTTACCTAGTCATGGAATGTCAACAAAATTTATTTATTATGTTTGCAGAGTAAAAAATAACACGTTCAAAAATGCTAACATTTTTGTATCCCGAAATTACTTGGAGTAATTTTGAAAGTATAAATACACCTTTGTCTCTGGCTGTGACAACAAATTCGTAGTACGCGTTGTTGTTGTCCGCGTCGAGCTGCTTATTATTAACGATGATCCCGTTCGAATTCACGCTGAAGTGGTCGTCGGATACAAGATACTCTATTTCCGCGTTAATTCCGGAATCTGCATCCGTTGCTTTCACTTTTATTATACTCGAACCCAACGAAATGTCCTCGTCCACGTTGTGAGCCTGGTAATCGGGCAACTCGAACTTTGGCGCATTGTCGTTCACGTCCGACACTCGAATTGACAACTGAAAACGTGGTGACATCAATAATAATGTAATTTTGTATACAAGTTGTTTAAAAGGATTAAACTACAACTTTATGCATGGGCACTACAATCTTATGTTATAGTCAGAACTTAAATAACAACCTGATAATAAAATCAGTCAAATGTTTATTCGTAAATTTTGTCGTTGCAATTGATTGAAGCTAGGTAAGAAAAACAAAGATAAGGTACCTCGACTGTCGTGGAAAAACCACCAGAATCCTCCGTAGCTGTTACTATGAGAGAATAGACGTTAGGATGACGTAAATCTTCGAAGTCTAATTCTTTAGCGAGCTTCACGATGCCGGAAGTTGGCCCGATATTGAACGTTCCAGCTGCGCCTTGACCTTGCGCCTTCAAGGTGTACCGGATTTCACGATCGGCGAATGATTTTGCCTTCACCGATATGATACTGAAACGAATCAGAAGGTACGATTCGTTAGCTGACAACGAGACTTGTATTTATCCCAAATTTCTCTAATTGCCACTTAAGAAAAATTGCTAACAGAATGCAGAAATAATATAAATATAATAACGTTTGGTTTGTGCTAGGATTCTGACTGATTCGCATATTTATTTAACAGCATAAACACTGTTTAAAAAGAAGCGTATTTTCAAAGATGATAGCGAACCAAGTTACCAAAAACATTAAATACAATTTATTTCCAGGACAAGATTACAGTTTCTTAGTTTGCCGTCGATAGCATGTAAGTAAAATGTTTATAAAGAGTGTTCTCATTCTATGATATAGTAGCGAAGATTGTTGAGAAACGATGCATTTATAAAATTAGACAGCGAGCGAAATCTCCATAGTTTCATCAATCTTTCCTACTAGAAATAAGAAGAAGAACTTCAGTTTATTTTGTTCCCATTTAGTAATGAGCAGTTTATATTTACGAGGCGTAGTTTTAGTAAATACACTTGCCCTGGATCGTTTATCTACTTCTTCCTGTAAAGTCTGTTATCATTCAGCAACGTTTTTACCGAGGATTTTCGTATGAAATCCATTTCTCATCCCCGGTTACTAAATAACTTAAGAAAAACTTTTCTTTTTATAACTCACTCGGAGTCTTTCTTCTGGTTTTCCGGTATCTCAGCCTCGTATGCCTCCATATAGAACTGCGGTGCGCGTTTTCCACCTACGATCGATAGGCGTGCCTCAGGAGTCGACTGAAAACGCCTCTCATCTATACGGCCGTTTTGATCCTCCGCTTTCACGTACAGAACGTATTCCATGTCCAACTGAAACAAATCGGTCCCTCGGGTGCGTAGAACTCCGGATTTCTCGTCTACCTCGAAACGACCTCCAGCTGCAAGCAAAACGGTAGCCATTTATTTTTCAGTCGGATAATTCCGTGGCACTTGGCGTCGAATGAGAGGTTCAATCTTTCATGGAAAGAATCCATAAGTATTTCACGAAAAGCAGTTCTTGGGGGGACTGAAACCGTTTCTATGTAATGGAAGAACAGAACAACGCTATTCGATCGAGGATAAATTCTCTTACAGACCCCTCCCATCTGTTAAGAATCATTCGATTGTCTATTTTTATTATTCGTGTAGAAAATATATTTCAAGCAGGAATTTATGTCCAACAGATATGAATTGCTATAGCAGGCACATCGAAATCATTCCTTTTTCCAACACAAAGTTATATTTGAATATTCTAAAAAAAGAATTTAAAATTCAAATTTTCTAAGGCGCCAAAACAACTGTCATCTCCGACGAGACAACCGCCTAACAACGAATCTTATCGATAGTCACCGCCACTCAAACCTCAACTTAAAATAATTTGACCTCAATTTAAAATAATATTTTGAAAGTGGCCTTAGTCCATTTATCTTCAAATCGAGATATTTAAGGGTTTGCGTTTCAATGAATTTAAAAATATACGTATAGGATACTAATGAATCATACTGCTTAAGTGTATCTAAGGGTGTTAAATTTATAGTTCCTATTAAAATAGTGGCAATTATTAAGTGAATAATATGCGTTTTCTTATCAAGAATGGAGTTAGGCCACTTTCAAAATTAACAACCAGATTCATTATAAAATTTGAAGGTGCCCAAGTCCATTCAACATAATTTAAGATGCTTCAAATTGAAAAAAACAATACTGAATTTATTTTACATATCTTTAAAACACTTTGGAAACATAATTTATGCCATTCAAAACATTTTTTAACTACATAACGTACAAAATTACATACATAAATTTATTACAAAACAATTTACTACTCATCTACATCTTGTGCGTGTGAAAGGGATTTGAAGGAATCATGATGTTCCGGTGGTATATATCGTAATAGGTCAGTTATGTCCTTGAATTTTGCTGTTGTAATTTGTTTGATATTTTTATACAGTGGTGTCAATACAATATTTTCGAACTTTCTTGGTCTACCCCGACGTGGTAATAAATTCAGGACTTTAAAATTTTCATTCTCATTCATTGATGTCTTATAGAAAATTTTATACGGTTCATTTCTGATAAAACGCATCCAACATATTTTTAACCAGTTTATTGATTCTCCATCAGAATTCTTTACCCTTTTAAAAATTGCGTCTTCGAATAATTTTGTTGATACAAAATCTTCTTGTCTCATTTCATTTACAATAAAATTATTACCTTTCTGACACTTTTTAATAATCTTGTAATAATCTCGGGGAACGAACAGTAAATTATTTTTTTTTAATGACATTTCTACCACGCCAAAATCTCTATCATTTGGTAAAAACGAATGTCCTGATATTAAAAATTTGTGATCTATGATTTCCACATTATTTTTCAAAGTTTCGACAATTTTTAACCACATTAAAGCTACTTTAATGTTTCTATTTTGCCCGGCGCACATGTCACTGTAAGCTATAATGTGTCTTTCACTTCTTAAATTTTTAACATGTTTTAGGATGCATGAAACAATTTCTTGAGCACCTCTGAATGCAATAGTTTCATCCCAAACGTACATGTAAACATTAAATATCTTGATTTAAGTATAAATGGAGTTAGGCCACTTTCAAACTACACGGTTCAATTATTGAACTAACTCTGAAAACTTATGTGTCAACAATTATCGTATTTGCTCGGAATATAAGCAACCTGAAATGCTGTACTGATAAATATCATGAAGTTGTACATGTAACCATGGTAACCGGAAAAAATTGTAAAATGGAGTTAGGCCACTTTCAAAATAAACGGCTCACATATCCATCTGTATACGTAACTTTAATTGTTTATATTTTAAAAACTATTGAATAGTTACACCTAATTTTTTATACACGTCCAAAGTAGTCTCTTTGCTATCGTTCTACAAAAATGTATTAAAATCCAAGTCGCATAGTTCGTGCCCTTTTCTTGTAAGATTGTAATATCGAATTCAATACGTACTTCGATCTCGTACGATGAAGTAGTGAATACTGCTGTCGGTGTCAGGATCTCGGGCTTGAAGGGTAAACACATGAGTATTCGGTGGCGCATTCAGCTGTACGACCGCTTGCATTGGCAGAGGTCGATTTATGAAGTACGGCAGCTCATCGTTATCGTCCTTCATGTTGATAATGACACGCTGATTGTCCGTGTCTGTAATTGTCGATCGATTATTGATATGCGTTCGCAACGTCCGCGTACATTGACAGAAAATGGTGGACAGTGCGCACAAAGACGGTGACCGAATAGCATTTGACATTATCTAAACCCGACGCTTTGACCTTTGGGCTGTTAAATTTAACGCGTGTCTCGAAATGAAATTTCTCGATACGGGATATATGTAATACGCTGACCTATCGATGTATCGTATTCCGAATATTACGGAACGAGCATTGTTACATGCTCGAAAGGTCTGACTCGTCGATTGCTATCGAAATTCTTCGAAAAAATTCCCTGCAAAATTAACGAGAAACACTCTGTAAATCAATCCCAGTGTTTCACGTTAGAAAATTAATATAAATTAATTTTTATTTAATTGACTTATAATAGTGCGTATTAAATAAATTAATTTTGATACGCGGATAGATTTTGTATAGATCCGAAACAGAAAAGAAATAATATCGAATGAATTTTGTTCCAACACACAGGATTTAATATGGATAAAATTTTATTTATACAGTTAAATTATTATTAAATGGTTTTATATTTATAGTTATTTTATTTTGAAAGTCGAAAACATTTGGGACAGATAGTGGAGATCGTGCTTGAAATTATATTTCGTTTATTATTAATGAATCAAGATTTTTAAATATACAATATATTCCAGGGCACTCCGAATCCCATTAATTATGACGATAATCGAATTCTTTCGAAATTTCATCGCGACGACGTTGAAATCCTATCTGAACCGACTTACCGTAGCGTCATTCTATTCTAAACGTTTGAGGAGAAAATGAGTTTGAATTATTAACGTACATCTTCTTCCGTCACCGCCCATAAACACTGTCAACCCAGAAACAGCGTTCTACGTAGCAAACTCTAATTCGAATTAACGTCTGATGCGCGAAACTAATTGCTTCACACTACGCAAAGTACACAACTACCAAAAGCCGTAGCAAACTCAGTTTGCTTTTCGTTCAAAATATATGGTAAAATGTTTTGCACGAATAATGAAAATGAAGGCGAAACGTGTGTCTACTTACATGTGAATCCTGTGGGAAGCCAAGAATGTGGAAAAGAAAACGTTTTGTTATTAATAATGGTGACACAAAAAGCACATGTAATTAAGAGTGGAAACATGGCAAGAAATGTTGAATCTGACGAATAATCGATACGCTTCCAGTTCCTATTAAATAAATAATCCTTTCGAGACAGAGTGACTTTTAATATAATTATCAACTATCAGCAAAATGTCTCTCTCCTAATATAAAAAAATTTTAATGGGAGATTCTAGAGACCAAAATAAGGCGAAAATCAAGAATACCAATTTGTTGATTGAGGCTTCGTTAAAAAGTTATTAACGTTTAAAGACAGCCTCACAGTTTTGTGAGTGAGAACCACTAGGACTGATCTGCCTTAACCTATTGCAGTTCTACAGGCAGAATTATGAACATTAATAACTTTTTAACGAAGCCTCAATCAATGTATTAGTATTCTTGATTCTCGTCTTAGTTTGGTCTCTAGAATCCCCCATTAAAATTTTTTTCAAGGTTGGTCGAACGTTCTATATAAGTTACGATTAAAAAAGAAGAAAATAAAATCATTTAATTTATTGTGAATAAAAACGTACGAACTTTTCGTTATCGCTAAACCACTCGTCCCTAATATATAATTTACGATTGAAAATGAATAAAATAAATTCGCACCACTTGTCTAACGTTCCGTCGAAAATGGCGATAGCGTAATAATTTCACGAGCAACGCTCCACATTAATAACGTTTAAACACGCCGGAATATGTAATTTCATTTCTCCCGTTCCCTTCATGCGTAACACGCGTCCCGACCATTCTTCTCTGGCAAACTGTAATTAACGTTCAGCACACAATGTGAAACGAACGCTCAAACAGTCACCCATTCCGAAAGGAAATTGTATCCACGTGCGAGCTACTACACGGGCTACGCTCGTGCCGGAAGTTCGCGTTGAATATTTCTTGCCATGCCTCCCTTATAGGGGCCACAGACGCAACGATTCCTCCAACAGTTTCTACACCCTTCGTTGATACGATTATTCGAACGATAATGATAAACGCGACAAGGAGAGTAGATGTGTATGTACATCGCTGGGTATCATTTTTAGTATACACATAGCGTGACAAAATTTATTTTCTTTAAAAATTTCGCTTTGTAATCTAGTTATAAATATAGACAATGTTGAATGTAAACACTTTGCCAGTCGCATATGATTCCGAAATATTTTACATCGAATTTAATTGTCATTCACACAATGTATACAATACATACAATTTTGTTTTCTCGAGAAATTTCACTTTAAAGTTTTATTATAAATGTAGACACTTTGTTGTTGCACGTATATTTCTGAAATATTTTACATCGAATCGTTCAAAATTTAATTGTCACACACCTATGTGTACACATAGTGTAATGCAATTTTATTTACTGGAGAAATTAATGGTTTTATTTACAGTTTGTTAGTCGTACTTATACTTCTGACGATGAAATATTTTACATATTTTATAATATATACAAATATATTACAATTTTATGATAATGATAGGCAATGTTGAATATGAACACTTTGCTAGTTGTACCTACGTGGGTATACTTTTAAAATATTTTGCATCGAATCGATACAAAAACTTTCATACGTCTATGTATTACTGCAATGGGACGAAGGTAGATCGTTGCGTGTATGGCTCCTATGACGATTTAGTACTATTTTTCTATGCGATCGGTGCTGATCGAATAATGGTGCAACGTGCAGCGCACGATTCTCAAGAAGCACAGCTTCCATCCCTGTACGAGAAAAGCTCCAGCGACGAGAGAAAATAACAGAACCATAGCACAGATAAACGCGAAGATGGGAGATCGAATGCACAGAGTATCGAAGCAAAAGTAATAATTAAAACATTGTACCGTCAAATGGACACCGGGTATACGGCGGGTGCTGTAAGCACCGTTCTTCGGCCGCCGAGCGAACAACAAAATAAACATTAATCAAAGAAAATTGTCAATACTTTCACGTTTAATTAACAAAAAAAAAGAGAAATTTTTTGAAAAATTCTTTCGCGAGACAGAGGGCCTCTGATTTTCATGGACAAATTGCAAAAGCATACAGTCACGTCTGAAATGAAAACAGTTTCTGTAATTTGTTAATGGAATAAATAAAATGGTTCAACTGACCAGAAACATCTTGTAATCCTGATGAATCTTTGCATGTTCATAGATAGATTTAAATATAAACAACGAAATTACATATTCTGCATTTTGAAGGAAAATAATTTATTCTATTTTGTGTGCCTATTTGCTCTCTCGAAACTTGTCCATTACAATCAAAAACACCCTGTATATATCGACCGCAAATATCGTACTTTTGAGAAGAAAGTAAAAAAGGAGAATGTCTTTGCACACTGTAGCGTTTCGAATATTTGTATTCCAATACGTTTAAATTTACAGTAAATTGCAAATATAGATTTTTAAGTTAATTAGAGCACGACTGATTTTAAAACAAACTCCCACTCGTATTCGTACACTATAATAAACTATTATACTTTCCATTAATTATTATCAAACGTTGTTTATTACAGTGTGCTGCTACTTCTATTTACAAAGTAGTTTTGTGTGTTACTTTTATTTATGTAATTTTGTTTCTTATGAATTCTTTCTCCATTTATTTTTATCAAATATTATTTATTACACACTTGTGTTATTTCTATTTATGAAGTAGTAATTTTTATTATTTCTGTCTTTTAATATTAACGGGTAATTAATGCCCAGTTACAAAACCGATAGAGAGGTATAATATAACCAGTATAACAATAAATAATGCCAAGAATACATGGTGTTTTTCCCCTAGTGGTTACCCGTTCCAAAATAATTTATTCTCAATCTATCTCAATATTTATAGATGATTATACATACATTTTTTATAAATACTACTTTTATAATTACACTTTTTAAGATTCTGGACACATTTTATATTTGGATTTTACATTAACGTTGCTTTGTACTTGTAGTACTTTTAGACAATTTAATAATGGTATGAAAATTAACAACAAAAACGTTCAATACAATTTTAAACTTGGACGACCCACTAGAGAGTCCCGATAACAAAATTTTAATCATTTTTCGGGATAAGAGAAATTGCAATCTAATTTAAAAAAATAACAGGTATTTTCTGTACGAATTCGTATGGGAGTAACTTTACACTATTAAAATTTAGCCTTTAAAAACAACAGGACAAGTTCATATTCATAAAAGTCTAACACGACATAGGAGTGCAAAGAATTGAACCAAACAGATGTTGTACAATTAATATTTGTTCATATTCTTGAAGTTTAACAGAACAGTGCAATACTAATTAAGGATTCGTTAACTCTCCTTGGCAAATACTCTGCTGATAATATTTAATAAAAATCTTTTCTCCAGGAAAACGAAGACTATTCGACTTTATTGTTCTAATACATTACCTGTATTAGTAATGGTCACCCAAAAATCAATGGTCTTTTCCGAGCCCAGTTCCTCGTAATCCCATTTTTGCTTGACAGAAATAGACCCGTTAGGGCCTACCGTGACCCACTTGTTTTCATCCCTAATCTTATACGTCTCCTTCTCGTTCTCTTTTTCCAGATGAAATGCAATTTTCCCCACGACGTCGCCGTCCGCCTCGGAGAAGTCCACCTTCTTCGTCGGCCTGACGGCTCTCGTCACTCTTCGTTTCTGTATCCGGTGTACCTCGAGCTCCATCGGCGGCGACGTCAAAAATCTAACGACCACCTTGGCCGGTTTCTCGGTCGATCGACTCGGTGTCCTCACGTCGTGTGCTTCGACGATCACCACGCATTCGGTGTTCTCGTCCATCGTGATTTCCGGTTCTCCTGCCAGTATCAGCTCCCCCGTCTGCGGGACAACGACCAGCATACTGCTGGGCGTGAGCAATTTGTACGCCACTTTATCGCCGTCAGCGTCCTTCGCGACGACCTTGCCCACCGTGGAGAACCGTTTCCAACCAGGAAGCGCCACGGAGTTCTTGTAAATCGCGTTCAGGTTGGTGGGTCTAATCTCGAACGTGTACTGCTCCTTCTCGAACACCGGACTATTGTCGTTCTCGTCGAGGATGTGTACCACGCCATTGATGCTGGACGTGCTGAGGAAGTTCACGTCGGAGGCGTGTATGGAGACGGTGTAGAGCTTCTTGAACTCCCTGTCGAGCGGTTTGGTCGTCACTACCCTAACGCCCACCGCCTGGCTGTTCAGCGTCAGGTTGAAGCCGGTCTGATTCGACTCTTCCTCTCTCAACGCGAACGCTCTTACCCCAGTTTCGTCTGGAAGGATCGTGTAATGGACGGGGAAGCTTCCGCGTGCCCGCAGAACGGGAAAACCGTCTATCAAAGTGCCCGAGTCAGAGTTCTCCGGCACCTCCCCCTCGCCAAGATGATCGTGCGAAAAGGTGATCATGTTTTGACGATTGATCACGTAGAGATGAAGGAAATGCTTCTCCGTGCCGTTGGCCATCTCCTCGAGGACGATTAGGTTCACGGGTTGGTCGACCAGCGGCCCTAGATCGGACGTGGTCATCACCAGACCGTCCCGTAACACGGCGAAGAACTTGGAGAAGTCGTTCTCCATCAAACGGAAATTCGACGGCCGTTTCGTGTCGAAATGCGTCACCTCGTAGCCCGGGTAAACATCGTGGGGCAAGACGGCTACCTTGTCGCCCACCGACGTGGCCACCAGCAAAACCGTGATGACAAGTATGCGCCACATCGTGCTGCCTCTTGTACGCTCGTGCTTTTACTAGGGCATGAGTGCTGGTACCACCTGAAACCAGAAACGATGCAATTGGTATCTAGAAAATTTGACCAAATTTTATTATCAATATATTACGTTAATCCTTGTTCAACCGTGACTGGATCTACAGTGATTTACGGTGATGATTCGTAAATTGAACGTCTGAAAATCATTTCTATGTTGCTTTGTCAGCAACGTAACCTTCATTGTGTGTGGCACGAATGAGCCTTAAGGGGATCAGGCAGTCAGAAAATCGATTTTTTTTTTTGAAAGTTAAGTGTCCTTTTATCCCAAACATATCTTATAGGATTGGAGATCTCAGTTAAATACCCTTGTATTTTTATTTTTCGAGATTATAGATTATTTTCCACCAATATTTAACAAGTATCGTATATGATTAATTAATACGATTAGTATCGTATAATTATAGCAGACTGAGTTACGAAGAGAGAAACGAAAGAATTCATAATGTGAATAATACGGATTAAGGGGACCAAGCAGTCAGAAAATTGATTTTTTTTTTTTGCAAGTAATATTATTCGGGAATTAAATGCCAAAGTTGCAAACGAAAGCTTTAATAAGTTAGTCTGCAAAATTGATCCAAGAACATTATTCAGCGGGACAGAAATTGTTGAAATTGCAGCCGATTTATCGATATATATTTCCAATAATGACACAAAATCATTACTACAATTTTTGCAAAATTTCTCTAAATTTTAATCGCGTTTCTCTCGAAAACTTGTTTTCGTCTCATTTTGCAGTGATTGTAAAAAAACAAAGGTTCACAGTGACATGAAATTTTGTTTACATACGTAACAAATATTCCTTTGCTTTGTTTCAGTATGAACCTGTAAGAACTTCTAATTTCCAGGGGAAAAAATTTGTAAGACAAAGCTTTTACCTTAAAATCTCAATTTTCCATATTTAATGCGCTATTTTCATAATTTTGATTTTTGTTAATGTTTAAATAAATTCAGTGCAAAGCAGGGGTTATTCCTAGTATTTTGCCGTTTGGTACATTGGATTAGATTCATTTGGAGAATCACTGCAAAAAAATATTTTGTATTTGTTTAAGTGCTTGCTACATGGTTGTTTGACAACATATTGCAATACAAACTTTGTATTCGTAAACATTTTAAGATACCAACACCTCGTGTAAAAGGAAAATTATTTATACCTAACCATTTTTTTTAATAAGCCCTTACAAAAATGCTCGATCTGACTGTCTGATCCCCTTAATAATGCATTCAGTAACATAAATGCGTATTAATTAATATTTAGCAATATTATGCTAAGGATATTATAATTAATATCTACAACAACGGATACGAATAGAAAGAACGAAGAACAAACGAATAATTTCGTTCACGACGAAATGAAACAATTTTATTCAATACTTTTAATTAAATTTTCGTTCCATATAGCGCCATCTTGAATACAGAACAATTTTTGCTATCAATTAAGCACCAGCGTTCTTACAAAAGATTTTTATTCGTATACATTTTAAGATACCAACACATCGTGTAAAATGGAAATTATTTATACCTAACCATTTTTTTTAATAAACCCTTACAGAAAGGTTCAATTTAACTGCCTAATCCCCTTAACTACTTTAGAACTAGGATTAAATTCATACAATGAAACATGTATGTCGGAGCTACATATATGTAGAATGTCAGAAACTGACTGACACGATATCACAAGTTCTAATTGACCGATTGGCTTGAAATTTTTAATGAATCTGCAGGAAACATGCCTTTATAGCTAAAACCAAGGATATCATGATCTGACGTGTTATTCTATTTTATTTTAAATCTCAAATATGAAAAAAACGAAGAAAAACTGATACTTCGACTCTTGTTAGCAATTTAAAAACAATTGAAATATTATTTTTTTTTTAGTCCGAACTGTAACTGTATCTTCACTAAGTTGAAAGTAAAATATTAGTACATTATTTTCCTTAAGTTCACGATCGATGTAGCTCCCTCGTCCAGGGGTTGACGCGATTTATTACCCCTAAGTAATCCGTCGCGTTCCCATGCCGATCATCCGGCGAAAACTCCGGCAGAAACGGCAATAAATTATGTCGACGGGCGTAATTCGTCCACTGATTCAGATTTATGTCTGCCTTTAAACA